GGGCTCTTCGGGTCCCCATCCCTGAGCACGTGGGGCCTGGCACGTGCAGGCTGGGAGGGGGTGGAGCTGAGAGGCGATGCCTTTTCTGCTCAGGCTGCTTGTCTGGAACCTCTCCAAGTTGCGAATGTTGGCACAAAACCTCCCTGTTGTTGAGATGCCCTTCTCTTGTCTGCCCTGGAGGGAAGCGCTCGCTCTCTCTCTGTTCTCTGTTTTGGTAGCATTTGAACTTCCTTCTGAGAGCTATCCTTTTCTACTCTTACACGTAGTTGTGTGTATTGACGCTCACTCGCCACAGTGTAAACACCTTGAGAGAAGGACCCTTGTCTGACTTACATTTTCATTTTCCGTGACCCACCAAGCAATGTCTGCACGTGGCTGTACCAGCACGTACACAGCAGTTAACAGACAAGGCACTGTCCTTCCTGCTTCACATGGGTCCATTCTTTAACTCTTGCAGTAGCTGCTGTGAGTACAAACTGCCATGAGTATCTGTCCCCATTTTGCAGCTGCAGACGACATGGAGTGATTTGCTGAGGGCCTTGTGACGAGGGACTGCATGCCAGAGTCTGGACGTCCCACTGTGTCCACGCTCCTCCTGCTGGCCGGTGTGCACCGAGAGGGCACTGTAGAAATACTTGTGGAATGCATGTGGGCTGGTATTTCTTAGTTATTTGGAAGCAACCAGCAGTTGAAGGAGATCCATTATTGCTTCCACTCCACCATCTGAACTGTTTTCTAAGCAACAGGAAGGCCAGAAGGGGGCGCCAGAGGTTGGTTGGTTCCATTTTTCTTTCTGAAGTACAGGATAGGTTGGCCTCCTGGGGTTCTGATTTGGAAGTCAGCAGTGCCATCTAGTGGGATAATTTGCTAATATCAGTTCAGAATTATTTTTCTGAAACTGGGAGATCATCATTTAGTTCTGGGATCCTCTGTATTAGCTTCACTTTGAGTTTTGATTGCCAGAGGGAGGGTAGGTGAGAAGGAATAAGCAGCTGGAGTCAGGGGTGCCCAACCCCTGGGCCGTGGACTGGATGCAGCCCAGGATGGCTGTGATGTGGCCCAACGTGAGACTGTAAATTAACTTAAAACATGAGATTTTTTGTGTGTGTGATTATGTGTCACAATGTATTTATTGTGTGGCCCAAGACATCTCTTCTTCTTCTAGTGTGACCCAGAGACGCCAGAAGGTGGGACGGCCCTGGGAGGTCGGGTCTGATCTCCCCCTTGGAGAGGCATCTGCTGATGCTGCGGTTCGGGGCTGGCCGAGCCCCAGACTCCCCACCCTGTACCTCCTGCCACCTCTCACAGGCGCTCCCCACAGCCTAGACTGCGCCTCCTCTCTGGATGCTCGCCTCTGGAGCTGCATCTGTTTTGAAATTTGAGTTCCAAGACTTCTGCCAAGATCGAGGCGTAGATGGAAACACTTTGCATCCTCGCACAACCAAATCTAAAAACAACAAAGTTTTAACAACAGTAAATGCAACCAAACCACACAGAAAATCGAATATGGAGTCTGAAATAACGAACCGCTCAGCTAAACCGGTGAGGGGGCGAAGCCAGCAGCAGAGCGGTTGGGCAGAAAAGATCCCCCGACCTGGGCAGTACACAGGCAGCTGAGGGCGCAGATCCCAGGTGTGAGCTGGCTACGGGCAGAACCCAGGGAAGAGATGCGGCTGGCTGTCTGCAGTCGGTCACGCATTTGCACGCAGATAAACCAGTGAAGAGGCGAGCATTGAGACAGATCGCGCAGGCCCCGGAGGCTGGCGCAGGGCGGTGGGCTCACACATTTGCGCTCAGATAAGCAGGCAGGGGTGAGCAGTGAGGCAGACTGGGCAAGCAGAGAGGACCACCATTGCTCCCTCTCTAAACCCTCCCCCACATACAGCGTCACAAACCAGCAACCTGGGTGGCCCTGCCCTGGTGAACACCTAAGGCGCCTCTCTTCATATGTAAGAGGCGTGGACAGATCAAAATATGGCTCAAGAACAACTCAAAGCCCCAGAGCCCATAAATCTAAGTGACAAAGAAATAGCAAAACTTTCAGATGCACAGTTCAAAACACCAGTGATCAGGATGCTCACAGAGCTGGTTGATTTTAGTCACAAATTAGAAGAACATATGAAGGCTAAACTAATTGAAATGAATGGTAATGCACAGGAAACCAATAGTAACGGAAAGGAAACTGGGATTCAAATCAAGGGAGCAGACCAGAAGGAAGGAAAAAATGACCAAACAGGAAAATATGAAGAAACGAGAATTAAAAAAAATGAGGACAGACTTAGGAACCTCCAGGACATCTTTAAACACTCCAACATCTGAATTATAGGGGTACCAGAAGGGGAAGAGGAACAGTCACGAGTGGAAACCTTATTTGAACAAATAACAAAAGAGGACTTCCCCATTCTGGCAAAGGAAATAGACTTCCAGGAAATCCAGGAAGCTCAGAGAGTCCCAAAGAAGTTGGACCCAAGAAGAAACACACCAAGGCACATCATCATTACATTAGCCAAGATTAAAATGAAGGAGAGAATCCTAGAAGCAGCAAGAGATAAGGGGACAGTCACCTACAAAGGACTTCCCATCAGACTGTCAGTGGATTTCTCAAAAGAGACCTTACAGGCAAGAAGGGGCTGGAAAGAGGTATTCCAAGTCATGAAATCCAAAGACCTACATCCAAGATTGCTCTATCCAGCAAAGTTTTCATTTAGAATGGAAGGACAGATAAAGTGCTTCTCAGATAAGATCAAATTCAAGAGTTCATCATCACCAAGCCCTTATTATATGAAATATTAAAGGGACTTACCTAAGAAAAAGAAGATAAAAAAGATGAACAGTGAAAGGACAGCAAACTCACAGTTATTAACAATCACACCTAAAACAAAAGCAAATTAATAGGACAACTAGATCAGGAGTGAACAATAGAAATGAAGATCACGTGGAGGGTTAGCGACAGGGGAGTGGGAGAAGGAGAAGGGGGGAGAAGGTACAGAGAATAAGTAGCATAGACGGTAGGTAGAAAATAGATAGGGGGAGGGTAAGAATGGTATGGGAAATATGGAATATAAAGAACTTGAGACGTGTTCATGCACTAAAGGGGGGAATGGCGGGGGAGGGGTGTGCAGGGTGGAGGGGAACAGGGGAGAAATAGAACAAATGTAATGGCATAATCAATAAAATAAAAGAAATACAGTATAAAAAAAAGAAATTTGAGTTCCGTTTTCTGTGGGTTGCCTGCTGTAGTATAATCCCACGTTGCAGAGAAGAGGGTGCTTGATGCACAGAACAGGTCGACAACACGGAAGGAGAGTTATGTCATCAGAAGTTTTTACTGGGCAAGTGTGCGAGACCTGGCAAAGGGGAGAGCACGAAGGGCCACACCGCAGCAACTGCGTGGCAAAAGGTGCCCTGTGTCAGCGTTGTCACAGGGCCGTCCAGCCTCTGGTGTCTCTGGGCCACACTGGAAGAAGAAGAGTTGTCTTGGGCCACACATTAAACACATTGTGTCATGTAGTCACACAAAAAATCATAATGGTTTAAGCGAATTTACAATTTTGTGTTGGGCCACGGGTTGGACACCACTGTAGAGTGAATGTGGAGAAAGGGATTGTGTACCTTCTTAGTTCTTACCACACAACTGAGGGCTTTGTGTGTGGTGCTGTTCTGGTGCCTTGTTTGAAATTTTGAAATAAGTTGCTTCTCAGTTCATTTACTTCTTGCTAAAGGAACAGAACATCCGTGCATGGTTACAGCTGTAACCACAAAACCCCAGTACTCCTCTGATTAGGAGGGCAAGGCCCTGGAGCAGCGCCACCTCCCCAGGGCGAAGGCTGTGCTGCGCAGCGCCCCGCCCCGCCCTCCCCGGGGCTCCGACCCCAGGAACGCGCCCCAGTGCGTTTCTCTGTGGTGGACGATTCTTTCAGAACAAGGAAACAGTTTTGGTTCTACTGGAGAACCAAATGGGAATTCATTATCAAAATCTGTGCAAAGCAAGGGTTTGCTACCTTTTTCCTTAACAAGATGGGGGTGAATATATTAGGCTGTGGGTATAATGGTTTCACGAATTCGGCTGGGCCTTCTTCTGCCGTTAGAGCAAAACAGCAGCCATAAATAGCATGTGATGAATGGATTTATAACTCTGCAGTTTGAATTTCATGTAATTTTCACATGTCATGAAATGGCTTTTTCCTTGGTTTTTTTTTTTTTCCCCAACAATTTAAAAAGACAAACACCAAAAAGAAAAGACCAAAAGGCAGATACTACTTCCAACTCAGTAGGCTGCACCAAACAAACACGCCGCTGCAGGCCTGGCCTTGGGGGCTGTAGTTCGGGGACTCCTGATTAGAGGCCTAGAGTAATTAATAATGAGCAGTTAATAAAAATGATGTGCACATACGCTCGTGTTTCGTATTGCAACGCAGGTGAGCAGCTTTTCTCTGTCCGGGTCAGGAGTCAGGTGAAGGGCTGTTGGGAGCCCGAGGCTCCGCCCTCCAACCCCGCGTACCCTCCCCCCTTCAGCCCGCCCTGGAGGCACCGAGGCAGGTCAGCTACCCCCATCCCATCCAGTCTTCAGTCCTCCCGGAATATCCCTTCCTTCCAGACCTCTTCTTCCCATCCCCGCCCGACCCTCCCGCAGTCTACAGGGCCCGAGGGTCTGGTGAGGGCGAAGAATGGGATGACGGTCCCGTCCTGGAGGGGAGAGGCCCAGGCGCGGAGGGTGCTGGAGCCGCGTGCTCGATCAGCTCCTGCAGCCAGGGGAGAACCGGGCCAGGCTCTTCCTCTTCGCCTTTAGGTCTGTCAGGTGGGGTATTCACCAAATTTGTGTCATTTCTCAGGTCCCCTGAGGTCAGTACACCCTCTGTGCAAATTGACTTGACACAGGAACTTGTATTTAGAAAGTTTTGTAAGCCCGTTTCTGTGTCAAGTGGAGCCTCAGTGAGCTCCCCCCGGGGTTGGGAAAGAAGTTGGGCACTAACGGTCGGCTGTATCCTGTGTCTCCGCAGCAGCCAGCAGAGCAGCCAGCAGAGCAGCCACGACGATGATTCCAGCAGGTTCCTGAGTCCTCGGGCACAGGAGGAAAGGTGAGGGCGGATGAGGGGGTGGGTGACGCAGCGGAGGCGTGTCTCCAGTGAGCGAGCCGTAGCTGGACGACTGCAGGGAAGTGGGAGACCGCTCAGAGACCGCTTCCAGGGCAGGGACCCACGTGAAAGGAACAGACCTGCAGGCTCTGGTGTACGGTAGGGGAGCAGCACGATGGGCAATCCAGGGGGGTGGGCAAGACCTCAGAGTGGCCTGGGGACTGGAGATCCCCCCTCCAAAGGTTGCCGCGCAGTGTGGACTGGAGCGGTGGAAGCTGTGTGTGTGGCTCCCAGGGCAGCAGAAGGCCAGGGCCCCGGTGGTTGCAGGTGTCAGGGGTGAAGGGGGAATGAGGTGGGAGGCACGGCGCACAAAGAAAATAAAGAGGCTCCCAAACGCTCCTCTGAGGATTTGAGGGGTGATCGTCCAGGCCTCTGGCCATGACTGTCACCGCCGAGGGCAGGGCGCCTTGCCCGAGCTGCTGTGGCTCACTGGGAATTCAGAGGAAAGAAGCCTCGGACACGGGGGTCAGAGGGGAGCTGAGGACCCGCTGCTGCTGCCCGCTGCTCCCCTGGTTGCACGTCCTGTGGGGATCCCTGGAGTTTAGGAGACGAGTGCCTGTGGGGGGAGAAGAGGGGGAAGGGAAAGGGAAGAGGGAGAGTGTGTGCTGGGACCTCTGTTTTCAGGGGCCTTAAAGGCGGAGAGTTTAGGGGAGGATTTCAGTATGATACTCATCAGCCTTATGCTGATGTGCCAAAATGAGATTTATTCCCCTAACTTCATCTGTCCTTGGGTGTGGCTGACAAATGGCTCGGATTGGATTTCTGCGATCTGTCTCCCAGAAGAGAGTGAGTTAAGCTATTTATGCCCTCTGGTCAGGGAGAAGTGCAAAGCTCTTCCTCTTGGGTGTCCCTGGTTAGGGCAGGTAGGACTTACTGGACTGCTGTGAAGTGCTGCTGTCTCACTCTCCCCATTCCACTGTCTGCTGCCTGGCCTGGCTCGTGGGGGACAGCCAGCCCCTGTCACGTGGTGCTGAAGGACCCGGGACAGAGCTCTGTGGTTGCAGGTCGGGCTGTGCGCAGGGGACCTTGGTTGCATTGATGTTAGAGAAAAGGAGGTCTTACCTGGCGCCCCATAAGGCTCCGTTCTTGGTCTGGCTTTGACTACCATTTTTATCAACCAACTGGATGAAAACCAGAAGGTGCTTTTACTTCGTTATCAAACTCCTGGCAGACACATAGCTGAGAGGGAATAGAAAACGCCAGGACAATAGAACTGAATGTAGTATTATTTCAAATAGAACTATGGGTAGAAACAAGAAGACTTTCATGTTTAAAGTCAATGTGCTGTTACATGCTTATATTATACTTAAGTTGCATATTTATAAATTCATATGAGAACATTTCCCAAGTGGCAGGTTGTCACTGGGGGCCAGCAGTGCCCAGCAGTAATAGCATGACAGGATTTCACATGAAAAAGGATTTGGGGGTTTTATTTATTTGCCAACTATGAGCCAGTAATAGGACACAAGTATCAAATGACCTTTGAAAGTCCGACTTCATTAACAGCAATGTGTTGGAAGAGATTAAAAAGAAAAAAGTTTCACTGTGGTCTGTCCTGCTTTGGCCATATCTGTGTATTCTGTCCAGTTCTTTACCAATGGCTATTGATAAATTAGAGCCCAGAAAAAAGCGATGAGGGTGATACAATGTCATTATAAGGATCGGTTGAGGGAAGGGGGCTTAGCCTGGAAAGGAGAAGGGCAGGGTGACTAATAATAGCACTTGTTAAGTGTCTGAAAGCCCAAGAACTTGAACCAGAGGGACAGATGTTACATGGAGAAGGGTTTCAGCCCGGGGTAAGGAATGGCTTTTCCATGATGAGATTGGATCTTCACTACAGCGGAATGGGCCTTGCAAAGCCATGACCTGGCCCCTACACAGACGGGTTCAAGCCACAGCTAGCTGGGGCATCTAAAAAGCATTGTCCCGGGGCCAGAGGCTGAGACCTCTGGAACCCTGCTCCCTTCATTTAGTTTATGAAGTTTTGTGAGTTCTGCCCTAGCTCTCAGTTGTTTTTTGTTCATAGTCACCAAAAGGAACAGTTCAGCTCATCAGTTTAGACAGGAAAGGTGTGGGGTCCCCAGGGAGCAGAGACACTTGTTCAGATATGTAATCAGGTCCCTGTGGCAGTTCCCTCAGTCTCCAGAGTGGCCTACACTCTCTTTTCAAAGCTTTCTGAGTTTCAACCACCACACTCTCAAAATTAGCAAGGGCCCCAGAACGCCCCTCACAGGAGTCCCTTTCCTGTGTGTGTGTGTGCCAGGCATCCACTGCAGTCTTGAAAAAGGTCCACGTGACAGCAAAAGGGGGAAGTGGCTCCACGTGGCATCCAAACCTGAGGGCTGCTGAGAACTTCCTCCTCATTCACACCATTTTCTGTCCCGAGGGCAGGACCCCTGGAACCACGGCGGGGCACTTCCTGAGCAGCTGCACATGGGGGAGAAGGGCTGATTTTTTGGGACATGGGGCTTAGAGAGAGGAATAACCCCCCCACCCCCGTTTTCCAGTAGAAAGCAAAATAAATCTAACTTCCCAAAGTATGTATATGCGTGTATGTGATCCTTCTAGGTAAAGTCAAGGATTCACCTAAAAAACATTAGTTCCTAGATTCAGCCCAAACTGGAGCAATTGTCAGGGTTTCACAAAAGCAGGAACTTTCAAACAAAGCCAGAACTGCAGGAAAAAGGAGCTGTTTTACTAAGGGCTGTTTATGTAACAATAACTCGTTTCAATGGAACATTACTGGTTAATGTAACAATATGAGTTTCAGTAGAACACGGGCTCAGTTCACCAGGAAGCCAGGAGGCCAATTAGTGTAGGGGAATTGAGACCTGGGCGGGGCTGGGGTGTAACGGAGCGCCCAGGCCGGCTGCCTGCATCACATATTCACTCCTGCCCACGGCGCGGGCCACACACCTTGGTGAAGGAGTGTCTGCTACAGGGAGCCTGGTGGAGTCTGGGCTGCAAGATGGGCAGGAGCTCACCGTCCACTGACGGGCACTGTGGTGGATGGGAACGTGTGAAAGAAAGCCCTTAAGACAGACCAACTTAGCTTTGACTTTTACTGTGCCTTTTAAAAAGCAACGTCCTTACTTTTCCTCCACCATAGGTTCCTCGTTTGTGGGAGTCTCTTCCTGTGAAGAGTAAATGAGACAACATGTGTAAGGTGACTGGCACCTAGTGAGTGGTAGCTGATTTTGGCTGTTGTGAGATCTGCTCAGTTTTTAGCAGATCCGTACTACTCTCTGCAAAACGTCATTTCAGATACTGAGGCTACCTGGGCTGGCGTGGTGTTTCTCCTCGGGGGCCTTACTGCCTCGTGGTAAGAAGTAAAACGTGTTATCATGACGTGCAATTATAAAACTGAGGAATTTGTTTACTAAAGTGCCTCAACCTGTGCAGTGAGTCTTGTATACACTTTGTAATAAAATCCTCTCACCAGCCCTGTCAAATAGATGCTATTATTGTTTTCCTGTTAGAGTTTAGGAAACAGACTCAGTGGAGGTACAAAGTTTGCCATTCGCGTGTGTGCGCACACTGTGGGGGACTCCCTGGTTCTTGAGCATTTAGCAGTTTTGTAGTAAATCTTTGGGATAGGACGTATCTTCCTAGACACCAGGCAGGCAGCAGAAAAAAACAAAGTGGTTGATACACTTAGGTGTATCAGAAGAAAACTGTAGTTTTATTGTTTTTTACATACCTCTGCCTGTTAGAATGCTGTACATTATGTTATTAATGAAAAATTTAATAAACAATTTAATTACAATTAAAAAAAACTTGCCCAAGAGAAACAGGCGCTCCGCAGGGGGCAAAGGTGGGGGGAGGCCTGGGGCGAGGGTGGGGGAGGGGTGGCTTCCAGAAGGACCCCGGCCTCTGCTGAGAGCTGCAGGCTGAGTGGCAGTTTCTGTCGGGGCGGCAGTGATGTGAGCTGTGAGCGGGGATGCATGAGACGGCAGTTCATGTTCAGGAACTGCAACTACTTCAGTGTCGCTGAGGGTTCGGAGGGAGGAGGTGCCCAGGTGGCTCCCAGCCAGTGTGTGAGAAAAGTCGCTCTGGTCCTGGTGTGGAAGATGCATTTCAGGGGCAAAAGCCAGCTACAGATAGGGATGGAGGGGGAGCCCGTGGCAGTTGTTGGCCCCTTCATTCCCACATTGAACAAGTATTTGTTGTGCACCCTCCCAGTCATTGAAGTTACAGCTGTGATCAAGGTAACCATTGTCCCTCCTTTCACAGTGCTTACTTTCTAGTAAGGGGAGATAGATAATAAACAAGAAAACATCAAGCAATAATAAGTGCTGTAAAGAAAATGAGCTCCGGCTGGTGTGGCTCAGTGGATTGAGTACTGGCCTGTGAACCGAAGGGTCACCAGTATGATTCCCAGTCAGGACACACGCCTGTGTTGTGGGCCAGGCCTCTGGTTGGGGGCCTGTGAGAGGCAACCACACATTGATGTTTCTCTCCCTCTCTTTCTTTCTTCCTTCTGCTGTCTCTAAATATAAATAAATAAAGTCTTTTAAAAAATGAAAGAGGCTGACGCCTTGGACCCGAGCATTTTGAGATGACGTTGGGTGGGAAGGTGTGACCAGATGTGGTGACATGTAAGCTGAGGCCACGCGGGCACTGCATTGTGGTGGAACAGTCAGGATGGAAAGAGGTGGATGCCCCGGCTGGTGTGGCTCTGGATCGAGCGTGGGCTGCGAAGCAGGGTCGCTGGTACCTGCCCGGGTTGTGATTGCGCTTCCGCCGCATGCTGCGTGATCTCGGGCAAGTTGCTTCGCCTTTGCGCCTCACTCTCTTCGTCTATAAAATGGGTTAAATATAGTTCATACCTCCTAGGGTTGTTGAGGAGTGATGGGTAGAAGAGGACCAGTACCTGGCACATGATGAGTATTATATATGTGCTTGCTGTTATTATTAATATTAATATTATATTGTTGATTATT